GTTGATAGGCCTGCTTAGCCACATAATGCGGCTGGGATTGTCTCTCGTTAGCGGCCTTGTCGTCCGTTTGGATGACCGAGTTCGCTCGATCCAGAATGGCCTGGAATGTGGTATAGTCGTACTCATTACCGAGTGCCGACCGCAATCCCGCGCATGATCGCGAGAAGAACTCGGATCGTTGATTTGGAAACGTCAAGTCGAAGCCTGGAGTGGTCACTATCTTTTGCCACTTAGTTGTCCAGTCTCGAGTTGGCATGTTCCCCTGAGAGCATGTGTACACCTCATTCATGGATGCCTTCACGACGTTGCGGACCATGAACCGGGTGAACCATAGCTGCTCGAACTCCTTCCACGTRATGTGCGTGTGGAGTTCGGCGATGGTGCACTTGTGGTTGGCCGCCAGGTGGTTCATCCATGCCTGCGCTCCTCCAATCAGTTGCAAATAGAGTGCCTTCAACATGTCGTTCGCCGGGACAGTGCGGCATGACGCTTCCGTGAGGAAACGTTGCCACCATGTCAAAGCGTCCGACTTGTTGTAGTCGTCGAACTTGCAGATGTCGAAGTGCGGCATCTTGAACATCTTTGTAGCGGCGTCCGGTCTCGTCTGTAGCTTGGTGATGTCCGTCTTCATGGCGGCCACCGTGCTGCTGATCGTGTTTGGTCCGTTGAAAACACCTATGTCGCCGATGATGGTGACGACGTGATCGATGCGTTCGTTGATTTGCTTCGTCGTGTCCGTAGTGCAGCCTGGCGCTGCTGAGGCCTTGGCCTCAATGCCGTTGATGCGTGCGATGGTAGAGTTCATCAGCTGTTGCTGTTGCTGCTGCTGCATTGCTGCGTCGCGGACGCCGGCCGTTACAGCGGCCAGGTCTTGCTGGTACTGCTGTTTTTGTTGTCGTTCCGCGTGCAGGTGTGCCTGCAGTAGTTTGTTGTTCCACATTACTCCCCTCATTACGTTCAACATCACGGTAGCCAGGTTACTTCTCTCTGCCTCCGCCTGTGTCGGCTCCGCCTGCGTTTCCGTAGGCACAAAGATCATGCCTTGGAGTACCGTTGTCCACTGATGCTCACTAGCAATCAGGGACTCCGTGCTGGCGGCATTCCGTCTATTTCGTGCCGCTTCGTTAGTCTCAGCTGTCCGCTGAGCTTCGGCTGCCGCCTCATTGGCCAGCCGCTGACGTTCTGCCTCTGCCGCAGCTTGCTGAGCCTCGGCGGCGGCTACGGCGTCTGTAAATGCCTGTAGCCGCCCACGATAGTCAGCCAAAGGCTCGCTGGCCTCTCGGACCGCGCATGCGGGAAGATCTCCGGTGGTGTCTTGTACTGTCAATGCCGTACTTGATGCCGCTGGAGTCGTCCGTCTGCTGAATCTCTTGGTCCTGGAGGTACCGCAGGCGGGCACGAACTGCGATCCTTGCACTGCGCCGTGGCAGTGCCCCGGTGTCCTGTTCCATCGACATCAGTCTGAACTGATGCGGTACTTGAGAGGTGCCGGTGTTCACAGAATACAGGGGGGGKAGGGAGAGTGGGAACAGGGGTAGAACAATCAAGCAATATACATACAATCCCCTGTCCCACTGATGGACTGTAGACACCTAATCAAACAGAAAAATAAATTTCCCGTAACTCACTCCAAAATTCTTAATAAGAATTTACTAACGATTTAATCAGTAAAATTAATTAATGATAAATAACGAAATAATAATTCTTAATGAAATAACGAATTTGAATGGGGTTATGATTAGGTCTCTTTGAGATCACTTGAGTCCGGGAGTTCACCGTTAATGAGTCAACTACCCGGAAGTTGCAGTTTGAGGGTCAGATACGGCTTAGTGTGCTAAAAAAATTTCGGAAAATTTCAGGAGAAAAAAAATGCTCGAATTTTCAAAAACGCGATTTTTTGGGAATTTCCACCGTCAAAATCCGATTTTTAAAAGCCTAAACCTGTTTTCGGAATTTCTCAAACAAGGGGAATGAAAAAAAAAAATTCGCGAAAATTTCGGTCCCAACCCTAATTTTCCGCGTTTCCGCGAAATTTCCGGATTTACGGTTTCCAAAACGTTCGAATTTCCCCAAGTTGATCTAAAACCNGTTCAGCCCCAACCGGCGGGCGGCAGCCTCAAGAGCGCCGCCAGGCCCAAACGATAATGCCGTTTGGGCCTGCCCGTCGGGTACTGGTCCAAGATTAGACCTTTAGGGCCTGTAATACCCCAAGGTCGGGCCTTTAGGCCCTAATGTGTCCTTCCGGAATTAAGTCGGGTTCGGTAGGACCCGTGTGTGTCGAAGATGTAACACACTCCCCCTCTTAAAAGACCGAGCTACCTGCGAGGGCGAAGTTGTCTGTCCGATACCGGGGTGGGTCGGGCGGGACGAGCTGCGTCCTTAGCAAGGCGTCGCTTCTCATAGTCGGCGAAGATGAGGGGTGCAAAAGTCTGCAAATTTGTACTGGAGATCCACTGAGTGTCATCAGGCGCACATAGCTTGAATGTGACTTTGTACTGCCTTGGCTTGTTGCCATACTTGCGGTGCGCGAGGACTCGGTCCACTTCCTGATGTCCGTCCATAGAAGGCGGATCCTGTGATCGACGTCCGGGAAACTCGTCATTTGAAGGTGGCGTGTAGATGGCCAGCCTCGATGCGTGGAAGACCAGATGCACTGTCAGGTGCGGTGGAATGTTGATCACGAAGGAAGGACCTGCGGGATCGTCTCCAACGGCAGAAGTGACTTCCCATGGTCCGAACCATTTCGGAAGGAGTTTGCGCGAAACGTCCTGCTCGAGCGCAAATTCCTCGGAGAGGACCCAAACAAGGTCTCCCTCGCGGAAAGGACATGGAAGTCGACGTCGGTTAGCTTGCTGCTGCATGCGGATCTGAGCCTTTTGCATAATTGCGCGGGCTTTGATCAGCAAGTCCCGGTACTTCCGCATGGAAGCGGGAGAGCAAGGGACGTCTATGTCGGCAGCCTGTGGCAAAAGGAGATCAGCGAAGATCCGTGCTTTCTCTCCACCATGATGTAACTCGAATGGTGTGACGCAGATCGCCGGGTGCACCGAAGTGTTATAGGCGAACTCGATGTCGGGAAGCCGGTCAACCCAATCTTTCTGGTCGGGGCGGATGAGCGTACGCAAAATCATCTGAGCGGTCTGGTGCGCTCGTTCCGTCTGACCATCCGTTTGCGGGTGCCGAGACGAGCTCGGTTTCATTGTCGTACCGGACTCAGCCATGAGGGAAGTCCAAAAGGCTGACATGAAACGAGTATCTCGGTCGCTCACTATGTCTTTCGGAACACCTTGGTTGGTAATCCAACCGGTGTGCAAGAGTCGTGCGAGCTCAGGCGCTGCAGCATGATACTTGCAAGGAAGGAAGTGAGCACTTGCTCAAACGGTCAACGACCGTGAGAATACCGTCATGGCCGTGGCGATCGCGGGGAAACGGGCCTGTCACGTCCATAGCAATGGAGAGGCGTGGTGCCCGGGGAATCGACAACGGTTTCAGTTCGCCAAGGGGACTCGAGATCGACCCTTGTTTCGGTGGCAAATTGCACATGACTCAATGTACCTCGTGAGGTCATGAAGGACGTCGGGCCAGTGAAAACGTTGGCGGAGGCGTGCTAGTGTGCGGTTCACGCCAAGGTGTGCCGAAAGTCGTGCGTCGTGGAATTCGCCGAGAAGACGAGTCCGTAAGATGCGATCTTGGGGCACAACTAACAAGTCCTTTCCTCTCGTGTGAAGGAGAAGGAACCCGTCGGAAATTCGATTGTGGCTAGCCGGCGGGTGATCCGATGAAAGCTCCGCGTAAAGCTGAGAGTAAGTCGGATCGGATTTGTAGCCTTTGACGAAATGTTGCTGCAGATCGTCATCGAGGTCGAATGCCGTGGTCACAATGGCACAAAAGTCGGCCCGTCGTGAGAGGGCGTCCGCAGCTCGATTGGCGGGACCGGGAATGTGGCACGGGTCAAAATCGAACTGGTCGATGTAATACATCCATCGACCGATCATGCCAGTGACCGTGTCTTGCGTTTTATAAAAGGTCAACGGATTGTTGTCCGTATTCCATTTGAAACGCCGCCGGGCGAGAAGAAAGTGGCGCCACCGTTTGAGAACGGTGACGAACGCAAGTAGCTCTTTCTTCCTAGCGTCGCCGAAGTGTTGACGAGAGGCACCTTTTGGGAGAAATACTCAACCGGATGCCAACCGTCCTCGTGACACTGTTCCAACACCGCACCAATACAGTATCCCGAAGCGTCCGTAGTCACTTGGGTGGGTAGGGTGGGGTCGTATATACGGAGGGCAGGTGCGGCTTGCATCGCTGCCTTCAACGTAGTGAACGCGCCACGGGCTGCATCGTCGAACTCGAAGGGCACCTTCGGGGACTGAAGTCTCGACAAAGGAGCGGCCACTTTCGAGTATGATTCGACGAATCGCTGATAATATCCAGCCAAACCCATGAAAAAGCGTACATCCGTCGTGCAACGGGGTTCCGGCCAATCCACGATGGCTTGGATCTTGTCCGCTAAGGGACGAACGCCTTTCGGTGTGACAAAATGGCCTAAGTACTCAAGCTCTTGCTTGGCGAATTCGCACTTGTCGAGATTCGCTTTGTACTTGGCTAGTCGCAAACGATTCAAAACAAYGCGAAGGTGTACGATGTGCTCGTCCAACGTCCTACTATAAACCAAGATATCATCAAGGTAGATGAGGACGCTGCGATCGAGCAAGTCGCGAAACTCAGTCGTCATTGCTGCTTGAAACGTTGCGGGGGCATTGGTGAGTCCAAATGGCATGACGACCCACTCAAAATGCCTGTACCGCGTCTTGAACGCGGTCTTGTACCGGTCTTGAGGCTGGATTTCAATCTGGTGGTAACCTGACTTCAAATCCAACTTCGAGAAGTACGTCGCACCGCCCAACCGCTCAAGGAGATCATCAATCCGAGGGAGAGGGCCGGCGTTCTTTACGGTTTGTTCGTTAAGTTTCCGATAGTCGATGCATAACCGTAGATCTTTGTTCTTCTTCCGGACGAAGAGAATAGGTGCACCGTATGGTGAGCAACTGGGGCGAATCCAACCCTTGTTGAGAAGATCATCGAGTTGTGCGCGAAGCACCTCGAGTTCCTCTGCGCTCATGCGGTAGATACATCCACGCGGAGGGACGGCGCCAGCCTCGAGAGTGATTCCGTGACGTATGGGCCGATCCGGAACCGTTCCGGTGGGAGCCTCGAAGACGTCTCTATACTCATCCAAGAGGTGAGAAATGCGTGGGTCCGGCGGTGACGCGGCTGGTCCGTCCGGCGAGGGGAGAGCATGCAAGAATACAAGGCCCATCTCCTCGACGTCATTCGGAGCAATGGCGTCGCGAATCTTCGCAACGGAAACCACGTGACAAGCAATCGAAGTGTGAGGGGTCGCGACCGTACATGGGACTAACACTCCGTTCCGATCACGGATGTGAACGGTTCGGTCATGGAAGTTTACCGGATGATCGGCGCTACGCAACCAAGACATGCCTAGAATCATGTCGAACTTGGTGTCGAGGGTGTCAAAAGACACCGGCTCGCACGCAAGTGGCGCAAAGTAGACTGGAACGCCGTCAACGCATCGGTCAATTGACTTTTGCGTGCGGCCGTCCGCAAGTGTAACTTGCGTAGGTTGCGTCTTCCTTCGAACGCG